TTTTTTTTTTGTTTTTGAGGTAGAAATTGTTTTATAAATTGTTGTTTCATTGATCGCTTAATTGGAATAAGCGCAATAAACAGATAGTAGTTCTTCGACAAAAATATTTAATTGGAATGCTACAGATTAAAAATACTGGATAACTAACTGATTACGGGATGATGTGAGGGCTTTTTCAATCTTTCTTTTTTAGTTTGAGTCTAAAGTAGTTCAAGTTCAACAACTGTGAAGCCCTTCATCAACTTTTTAAGATTTTTGAATCATTTTTCGCCTAATATTGTTTTTTTTTTGGGATGCTTTTTTTAAATTTTGATATCAGTCTTTCTCTACGGCATAAGTAAGGTTGTTGAATTGTGATCGAGCTGAAAAGTACAGTGAATCTTCGAGCCAGTTTATTATTCTACTGTATCCTAGACATATTTTATGGTTTTATTCACCTTTAGTTGTATTATGAGCTCGCCGTCTGATGATGGTCAGTATACTGATAGCGACAAGGAGGAAGTTGCCAGTAAAGAGGGGAAGAGTGATATAGGTACAAAAAATTTTTTATTGAATATTTTTCTTACCCTCATTTATAATTCATTCTCCTTTTTCTTTTCGCTTTTTAAAATGCCAAATGAAGTATCAAAAGATAGTCAGTTTTTCCTTAATAACTTTTTTTTTTATATTCCGCAACGGCTTTGATTCTCTTAAAGGTGTTAAAATTTATTAAGAGTTTTCACAAAAGAAGAAAAAAAAAACAGAGCTTTTGGGGCTTGTATGTCTTATCTAACTGTTTTCGTCCCATTTTTTCGTTTACCGTACCGAAGATTCCGTTTTTTTGTAGAAGGGGATTTGCCTGTATATGCGACTCCAGTCTCGCCTCGCAATCAGCTGAACCAAAGGAAGAGTTATGGGGAAAATCGAGAGACTATCGAAAAAATGCAGGAATCTGGTACTGGAATGTCTTCGGGATCTGCATCCAATGATGATGGTACTTATCCATTTTTTTTAAAACTATTTTCTCTCATGTTTTAAACTACATGTTTCAGAGGACGAAGAAATCCGCTTGCGCCGTAAATTGTTGGAAAAGCATATCGCAGCTGAAGCTGTAAAAAGTAGGGAGTCAGCTGGTGTTTTGGCCGTGACAGTCAAAAAAGCTGAGCCTCGTAAACATATAGCGAGCATCAGTGAAGACGAAGAAATGTTTTCTATACAGCCGAAAGATGCAGTGAGTTCTTTTTGCTGCTTTTTTGCAGTTCTCAGTGGAAGTTTGTCAGTTCTGTTCTACAGTGCATTGTTGTCACTTCAGTTTAATTACAGCTGTTGCATATCATACTTTTAGGTTCCTCGTCAGCGAAATCTGTTAGCGAAAACACATGATGATAAGACCAAAAGTAAAGAGAAATATCAGAGTGAGCGGGCAAGACGGGATCGTTCAAGAGAAGAGAAGCATCGTAGACATCGTGAAAAAGAAAGGGAAAGACGTGAGGGTGGTCAGGGAGACAGTTTACTTCGCCGATTTGAAACGCGTGATGTTAGTATTTCACATTACAGACTTGAAATATTAGTCGCCACGTTGTTTTTTTTCAGCAGTGTTTTTTATATTAGGATCGAAATCGTCATGGCGTATCTAGAGTTCCAGTGAAAGAAACTGCCCGGGGAGACGCTCGCGGCGTAATTTCTTCTCGGGCTCACGAAGAAAGAACAAAAATTCGGAACGGTAGAGGAGATCCGCATGAATTTAAGTCTGCCCATATAAAGGCTTCGAGGAAGGAACGAAGGTGGACTTCATTGTCATAATGCTTTTCATGGCTTTCGTTTAAAAGTGGCTTTAGGTGAACAAAATTTATATTATTGCAGTCGTTCGCCAAGGAAGAGGGATGCTCTGTCAACCACGAGAAGAAGTTCTAGTCGAGAGCAACCTGCAGCCAAAAAGTTACATTTCGAAAAGCATGAAATTGTGATCAAACAAGGTTTGTGTTGTTGAAAATTGGACTACGGATTCTTCTTTAAATTCAAGGTATTACAGTTCTTTAGCAGTTTTATACTGATTTGGTCGATGTGAAGACCTGTTTCGCCTTATACGCCGTCTCTTTCCACTTATTTATATTTCGCACTTTCAGGCAATTCTATTTTAGATTTCTTTCAGAAAGCCCGAGATCCAAGGTTAATATCATAAAGGGGGGAAAGAGCGATGAAGAAACCCCCATGGAAATTGATATCAAGGAAGAACTTAAAATAGAAGCTACGGGAGTATTGCTAAAGCAAGAAATTGAAGTTGTTGAGGATGAACCGAGCACATCGACTCGAGATGGTAATTGTAATTTGGCTTTGCTCACTGCTTTTTAAACGATGCATCATTTAAGTCTGCATTTTGCTATGTTAATATCAGTTTATTGGTTTTATTTGTTGCGTCTCTTCTTCTGTATTTTTGAGTGACTTATGGCAAGTGGTATTTTTTTTCAGTTTTGAGAGCTTTAATAAAAACTATTTTTAAGAAGAGAGCACATTTCCACTTAAATATTCGAAATTTGACAGCAGTCCTGATGGGGAGGACAAGGATGAAGATGAAGATGAAAGCTCTGACAAGGAAGGGACGCCAAAGAGTGAATTTTCAGGTAATTTTTGCTTCAAGCACCTCGTCATTTCCAAATTATTATTTTGTCTGATAAGTACAGCTCTAACAGCGAGATCCAGTCTAGCTTTTTGACTTTTTTTTTTTAGCTGGCAGCGAAAGCGATGAAGGTCTGAATATGACGAATTCTGATGTTGAAGAAGAACTTGACATTATGAATTTGGATGAGGACGCGCTTGCAAAAATGTCTCCAGAAACGAGGGCTGTGTATGTCTATTACCTATTTAGCACTGATCTATTATCAGTTTCCTCATTCATTGCGTTTCAGTTTATGCTTCGTCAGTTCAGTTTTATTTTATTGTGTTTGAACTTTTACGCTTATTTTTATTTGTATTTTTTAGCTTAATTTTTAAGTTTTATTATGTCATCTTTTTCACTTTTTTTGCGTTTTGCTGTAAGTTTTTTTTGCATTACTTCAAAGATGTTTGAACGGAACGGCTTTTTGTTTTTGATGGAGCTTTGCATATTAGAAATTACTTTTTTTTTTT